TATTTTAGTTCTCAATACCCACATGAAAGCAAGGACACACACAAAAAATTTTGGTGCCAGGTGCTGCTCCTTTTTGTTTATAAAACTTTTTGAACCACTGGAATAAGCATGTAGCATATTTAGAGCTTGTTTTTTCTACTTGGTTCTGTGAATTGGAGCTTTTTGAAAAGTGCTTTGGAATTAAAATTATTTGAAATAATTAATAATATCTTTTTCAGCTCAAAAACTTCATTCCATTCCTCGGTCAATTGTCAAATGCTGCTTAGCTATATGAAATAAAAGAAAAATGCTTTTGAAGCCAGTCATATAAGCATGGAACATAATATATAGTTCTTTATCATTGTCACCGAAATGAGAGAACTGAGAAAGTGAGGGAGGAAGGCTGGGAGGGGACATGTTGTATTTTTATCAATTTGTATGCAGGGGCTGAATCTTGTTTGGCGTGTCCATGTATGCAGGGTCTGAACCCTTTTATGTTTATCTTTGCTTTGGTTGGAAACTCCACATATGTTGCAAGGTAAATTTGGTCAACTCATCATTGATATTTGGCTTCACTTTGAGTCCTATTTATCACTTTATTGAGTGTGGTTTGTACTTGAACCATCTCTGAGCTACCTAATGGTGCATATTGGTTCCACTGTTTTTGTACCTTTCCTTTTTCTGTTTCCCTGTAGCATACTTGTCAAGAGCACAGATTGGTCAAGAATCAGACCAAATTTACCGTGGCTGGTGGATGCAGCAGGATGCGTGCTGCTTGATACTTTGTATCCTTATTAAGGATGGTTCTGATATGATACTTTTTTATTTTGTAATGGATGTGTTATTTAGAGGCACAAACCCTGAGATGTTTTTTTTTTGTGAAGTAGCACTTTTTTATTTTTATGGTGTGCCTAATGTTGCCCTCTGTTTCTCCTTAGTATCATGAATTGAGTTGCTACACTCACCCTGAAAAAATTTTATATTCTTTGTAGAACCTTATTGCATTTTGCAGATACTGATTCAGTTCATATACTTCTGCTATTGGGCACCTCAAGATGCAGAGAATAAGCATGAAAACTTCAATGCACCTTAAATGACGGCAAAATAACCTTTTGTTGAAGGTTCTCTCTCTGTCTCATGTGAGTTTTTGTTCCAACATGTGCATGCATCTGTTTAAGGGTCTAGGCAGTATTTATAGTTAATATAAATTTGAATGGTTTAGATGATTAGTGGGCTTTACTAGTAACTTCCTAGATGCACTTCATGCCATAATGTTGGGTTCTCAATGGTTTACATTTTTTTTTAATTTTTCTAATTTTGGGAGATAAAATGTGGTTATTATGAGGCTATTGCCTCAGCCTCAAAGGTGTTCAAATGCAATATTGATGGTAATTGTGTTAAGTGACCATTCATAATTTCAATGTTATCTGCTTGAGTTTACTTTTGTTGATCATTGCTTGGCAGGGATTCTTTTCCAATTGGAATGAAGTTGGCGGAGCTGGGGGATATGTAGATGCCATGTGCCTTGGATGAGTGATGATAACTCTTTCTTTTGGATTTGTTCAGGCAGTGCAGAGGGATGACACCTGCTTTTGATTTTGGCAAAATTTGTGTCCCCTCTGTTGTACTGCATTTTTGCCTACCTCTACCCACTCTTTATTCTGCTTTTAATTCTCTCCTTACATTTATTCTTTTTTATTAAATTAATATTTTAAAAATAGACATTAAGAGGTTTTATATTTTTATTATCTTTTAAAGTTACTAATAGAGTAATCATTTACGTTACATTTATAGTTTAATCAACTTCTTATTTAAAAGAGTAGCTAAATTTAAGTTTGAGTCATTCTGAAATTACTTGCTTTGTTTATTTATCAGTTATAATTTGTTTCCTATAGGTTTATCTGGTTATTGGTTTTAGGTTTTAATTATTATATTATGTATTTTCTTTGTCCAATTCTTTCCCTATTTCTTAAAAGAACAAAAAAAAAATCAATAACTTTAGTGTATTTTTCATTAGAATTTAAAAAAGACAAAGAAATTGATGTTCCATGGCTTTTGCCACCAAAAATTAAAAAGAATTATAAAAAATAAATTTTGGTTATAAAAAAAGAAAAGAATAGGAGAGATGGAGTCATTATTCCTAGGATTCAGAAAGTTGCTTTGTTTTGTAACAATTTTTTTAGTATACTAAAACATCTTAGACTAAAATAATGTTCAATGTGGCACTGGAAGGAACTGCCATTTTATCTACTAATGTGCTTCAGCTGCTAACAATATTAACAAAATCTGGTGTCATGTCAATTGACTAATAACATCATACCATATGATTAAATAAATACCCCCATCACTTTTCAAATCAGGGTCATGGACACGTGGCATGCCTCCATTTGTTAAAAAAATCTAATATTTTTATTTGGAAAATAAATAAAATAATTGTTATATTTTAAAACATAAAGGACTGAATTTTTTTAATTTTTTGAAAAAACATGAAAATTTTAAGATCTACTTTTCAAAAATAAAGAAACCAAAATTTATATTTTTTTTTTACATTTTTTGAAATATAAAAAATGAACATTTAATTAACATTTTTTTAATATATATAAAACACTATATATATTTTTTGCTTTGTCTTTCCCTAACTCGCAACCGGTCTCTCCTTTCTCTCAAAGCTCTCAGCCAATAACCAAGCCCTAAACGCTCCTTTCTACCACAGTGAGCCGCCTCGGACCTCCTCCCACGGCTAACCTCTATCACCGCATATGGAGACTACTTCCTTCCCTTCTCACTTGAATGCCAATCCTGAAACCTAACTCACCTTTAAAACCCCAAATCAGCAAACTAAAGCCTAATATTTTCAAGACTGACTCTGGGGTTTTCTTTCTCTAGTTTTTTTTATGGCTCAATTCTTTTTTTGGAGAGGTCTTCATCTGTTCTTTTGGTAGTCTCGGTCAATAGAAATATATAGTGATATATATATATATATATATAATTTTGCATGAATCTTTAGAGCATTTAGTTCAATAGTTTATGCATGATCTTTTGCTCGAACAATAAGGTTCAAATATCTTGTTATGGTGAAATATAAAATTAAACATTTTGGGGAAGATCAAGGAGAAGTAATTTTTATGTGTACTAATATTAAGGTCGTACTTCATTCTGAATTTTATATTTATTATTATTATTATTTGAATAATTAGCTCATATATATGTCTATTACATTTAATTATGATAAAATTGAACAGAACTCTTACAAATAAAGATGACAAACATAATAATTATAATGATTTAAAATTAAAAGTATTACAATACACAATCAATATAAAAGATTTTCACAATACATTTAGTTAATTCGATTGAATTTTTTTAAATTAAATCAATCATTTGTACACCTTTACAAGTATCAAAGAATTTATAATTATTTCTGAACCAAAACATATTCATAAAATTATGCTCCTCGTGATAAATTATAGAACATCTCTTTTAAGATTTGTTTTAAAACCCATGTTCTTACTCTAATTTTGTTAAAATAAGTCCGTCTGCAGCCTGATAATGAAGAACCTTTGTTTCAAATTTCAGAGCTCACATTGATCTAAAATCTTCAAGTTTTCTCCTTGGGTAAAGATAACAAACTACTGAGTGAGATTTATGGCAAGATCTTGGTTCCGAAAAAGGGTGGGGCAAAAGACAAATTACATTAAAAGGTGAAGTTGTTTGCTTGTGGTCATTGCATTTGATCAACAATGTGAGATGCCATTTTCCAATTGCAAATGGAGACATCCGAATCTGATCTACAAACTACAATGGGGTTAATGAATTTCCTTTCCTTATCTTCTTGGCCAATGGCCAGCCACGTGCCTTTCCCCACAAGGCTTCTGTCTTCGAGACATGGCAGCCATAAACCCAAAATAAACAAGAGACAATATTTTATGCAAAGAAAACCAGCATCAAGTCGTTTCCATTTGTTTTCCACCTTACATCACAATTAATAAAGAAAGGAAAATTCTTAAATTTCAAAACCAGGATTGTGGAGTCCAAAATTTCAGTAAAACATACTTATATCTAAGCCCTGCATGCATGTGAATTTTGATTTGAAAATTCCCACAATATGACAAAATTAGAGATTAACATTTAACAGGTAACTTTTGGCCTTGTCCTCAAACAGACTATATCATGTATGAGAACTGGATGCAGTTAAATCACAATGAAATTTCATATTTTTAAGTTAAGAGTTACATTGTTAATTACTTAGAGTTAGATTATAAATAAGATATTAGTTTTTTTTTATTTATATACGATCAAGATATCATCCATTTTATATTAATAAAAGATAAAATGTGTTTACGAAATATAAGTATAAATTTTTCACTAATGTTTTGAATTGGGAATGTGAGTCTGTCGTAACATTAGATTTTAATATTAATTTTTGATCTCTTTTAAAATTATTATATATTTTTATAATATTTATATACGTGAATATATATATATATATTATTATATTTCATAACATTTAATATATCTCTACACATTCAATGTACATATCCTATAATTTCTCTCAATATTCTGTTACAAAGTTGTATTTTCACAACACAAAATTTTATATTATAGTACTTTTATGCAGACATAAATGATAACCCTAGAGGTGTGTTTATAACAGAAGTTATAATATGGTCGCATTGGAGAAGAGTTAAGTATTGCAGAGCAAAAGTCGGCGGTGGACAAGGAAAAGCCTGCTGTCCCAGCAAATCTCATTATTTATTATTATTATTATTATTATTTATAGTAAAACAAAAACCTCCTTACTCTTACACATATATATACGACAATAGACTGGCCATATTTGCCCAAAGAGACAACGCTTTCGTTTCAGTATTTGATCTATTCTCTCTCAGCATCCGTGAGTTTCTCATCCACTACTACTTCTCGTCTTTTTTTGCTTGTTTACTCTTTCCATAACAATGTTTTTCTTATGAGATAATTCATTTCAAACAAGGGACCAACCGACTCCTTTCGTTTAGTATGGAGCATTTTATTTAGTAATTATTACTTCATTTCCTATTATGACACGAGAAAATACATACGTATTCAAATATTATATATAGGTTGGAGAGGTGGTAGCAGGGAAGCAAAGGCAAATTAGGCAGAGGCAGAGATAATGGCAATTAGGTGCCCAAGACGTGGAGAGTGCTGGGAGTGGGCGAGAGTGTATATAAACTACTGTATTTGCAGCGCAAGCGATGAAGGGTCTTTTGCTTTGGGTTTGATCAGTGTCATAACTTGGAGTGTAGCTGAAATCCCTCAGATTATCACGAACTATAAGGAGAAATCCATTGAAGGGCTCTCTCTCGGTTTTTTGATCACTTGGATTATTGGGTGGGTCTTTCTTGTATTCTACCACCCCTTTTCTTACTTTCATATTGATTACCAAAAGAACTTTATCATCATTCTATTTGCAGGGATCTTTTCAATCTTTTCAGTTGTATTCTTGAACCGGCTACTGTAAGTGTTCGGCTCGTTTGATGGTTTTTACCTGTTTTGGGTGTTTGTTTCTGTTTCTTGTGCTAGTCTGATACCTGACTCTACTTTGTTATGCTGTTCATTCAAATTGCATTGTTACTTTCTGTTATGCCACTTCCTTTCTTTTGCATTACTGTCATTGTATAACCTGCCTCTAAGCAGGTTCAATGACGGTCTCCTTTTTCTTCACATAGAACTAATATGCCTTGTCATCCAATTGAATCTTACTTTTTGCGATTTGGTTTTTCGCTTCCTGAAAAGTAAAAGCATATATTTAATTACGAATGAACAATGGTGGAGATGTAATATTTCATATAACAAAATTAATTGATATTCATAGTTGTTTCATTTTGGCTCTCAAAAGTGAAAATCAAGCTACAACAATACCTATGCAGCCTAACCTTTTTGGCTTGGGCCTTTTGCTGCATTCAACCTAAGTTTCAAATACATGAGGAGATCTTGCAGTTCATCTTGTAATCATAAGCTTATTTCATTTTTGTTGTAGATGATGGATGAAAACACCTTTAACTGTTTGGTTTATGCTGAAGGTAGCAAACAACTGAACCAAAAATACATTAGTAAATTAAAAGCGCTTGTAACTTTTTTTTTTCTTTTCTTATTCCCTTGCTTTGTCTCAAAGGTTGGTTGAGATAACTATAGTCATCTTAGTTTCTTGACACATTTGACATTGATAATATACCTGCTCATTCTTTTACTCATGTCCTTATATGGTTTATTTTTTCTTATTTTAAAATTTTTTAACCTGTTTCCATATCAGACAAGTGCAACTTTTTTGCTTGCCAGTGTAAAAACATGCATCTATTCATTGCTAAAAGACATTTCACATTCGGAGAGCATGATTTGTTCATTAGGAACACTTTATCCTCTTGCCTTACAAAATATTAAGGATAAATTCTCATGGAGCTCTAGTCTAGTTTGAAAGAAATAATTATTCTGAGTTTCTATAGGGAGTACTGCTGCAGCCAGTGTACTGAAACTTTATTGCTTATCTTTGCAGCTTCCAACACAATTCTATATGGCAGTTGTAAGAATATGCTAAACCCAAAATGTTGTTAGTCTAGTGAATTCTTAATTAACTATATTGTTCTAATTCTCAACTATTGATTTACATGACCTTCTTGCTATGATGTCAAAGCACAGTTGTATACAATGACTACGTCAATTCTTGCGGCACAGACTGTATACTATGGTCACATTTATCCTCAATTAAAGTACAAAAGAGTCTGCCACAAGGTAAGAAGTTAAACTACATTTCTCTTGGCAAAGCTTCTGCAACAATTTTGCACATTACAAATTCATCTCTCCTTAGAGCCAAATTACATAACACAATGGTCAAGTTAAAGCTCTGAGCTCCCGAAACTAGTGAACCTAATAGAATAAAGAAACAGACTATTTTGTTAAAAGGTGAGCAGCAGAGAAAAATGTTTAGTTTTTCATTAAACCAAGACCAGCTTGTATGGTATTTTTTTTTGTATATTTAAATGATATAAATCTTTTTATTGGATTTAACTAAAAGGTCAAAAAA